TATCACAAATCACTGATGATAATGATGATGATGAAGTTAGAAACCTTATTTCTCTGTCTTTTATATTCATATATTATCAATTCTGATTTAATGGCAAAAATATATACTATTATAATCTTAGTACTAGTGAACACAAATTCACGGGTACACATTTCAGCTCATGTATCGAACTTTATGTTCTTATATTTCAGCTAAACAACTAAAAAATCTACTTTGATGTTTTAACATATTATTAATTAAAAACAGCACATACTGCACGAGAAAGAAGAATCTTGATATCTATATAAACACAACTGAATGACCAATTTTCTTAAACCAAAAATTTACAATACTTTACTGAAAAACTGTATTTATTTAATTTGTATGTCACTATTTTCTCAACACACTTTTGTGAAAGGCTGTTAACTTCATTTCTCTTTTCTAAATGTGTATCAAGGACATAAATGTGTATATTTGTATTAGAACCTTTACAGCTCGTTCCTACCAATATTTCAGGTCTGACAAGCGAAATAATTTCTCACCATCGCTGCAGTTTCTACCTGCTTCAGGAAAGAAGAAAACAGAAAATAGAGGTCAACGTGAAGTTAAGGAAACACTGGGACTGACTGGAGAGTGTATGATCTTTTTGTTCGTGCTATCGTTCTATTGTTTCTGAATTAGAATTAGATATTGAGGAAGATGTGTTGCTCTTTTCAATTCAGGCATCATTGAAACAATGGAAATACATAAACAGAGCTGACACTACAGCCCTATGCGCTGTCATTCACTTCGGTCTATATTCATAATTTCCTTAAAGCATTAGTACATCAATAATGTAGAAATATTGAAATTAGACAACTCAACTACGACATGCACACTTCGGAATACAGTGTATTTTTTACAACGTAAGGATGTTCAGTCTTGTGTTTGATTTATTTCTTACCTTCATCTCTGCTGGAATAAACACCTGTATGTAAGAATTAAAAACTAATTTCAGCTTGAAACACTGTTTTGTATGGAAGCCCGTTACCACACCGCGTTTTATTTTTTACTCCCTGGAGGAAACGGGCTTCCATAGGGTTTTTGCAATATTAGGAATGAAACATCTTAACAAAAGACAATGCATTTTATTGATAAAATTATTATATCCGATTCTGTCTGTTATATAAATAAAGATAATTGTGTACTTTGTGTAACTGAAAAACTTTAGAAGCTGTTTTCAAA